CTATCTATTTATCAATACATGTGAACAATAATTTATTTCTTCGCAATAAAATAGTTTACCATATATAATTTTCGTTTTCTTTGACGATATCACATAATGTATAAAGGGGTAACTATAAAGATTGTAAGGTGCACCCCTGTCATGAGATGTACCACCAAATTTCATTACAGCGATTCAATCACAATAAACCTACAGTCAAAATGATGAATCGCTTCCTCTAGATAAATGGAGTAAAAGGAATCACTGTGAACCCTACTGGAAATAAACATTTAATAGCTTTCTCGTCTATCCTTGGTCAAATCCTCTTACTAATTTTTTTTTTCTTACGGGGATTAGTCCACCCGGGCATAGATCACTGACCCACATCGGGGCCTGGGGAACGAAATAATAATAATAATAATAATAATAATAATAATAATAATAATAATAATAATAATAATAATAATAACAATAATAATAATAATAATAATAACAATAATAATAATAATAATAATAATAATAATAATAATAATAATAATAATAATAATAATAATAATAATAATAATAATAATAATAATAATAATAATAATAATAATAATAATAATAATAATAATAATAATAATAATAATAATAATAATAATAATAATAATAATAACAATAATAATAATAATAATAATAACAATAATAATAATAATAATAATAATAATAATAATAATAATAATAATAATAATAATAATAATAATAATAATAATAATAATAATAATAATAATAATATCTGTATGTTGTGTTGTCAATAGTAAGAGAAACAATTGAGACCCTGCAATTGTGTGTAAATGAGGCAGAAAGTCAGATCAGCAACCTGGGACTTTGTCACAATTTTCGTGATGCCATATGGCAGCAAGATCTACCATTAGACAACACATTATGCTTCCAATATCTTCCCAGGCGGCAGTACCTCCCTGTTTGGTAGCTGCCTATTACTGTTGTATGTCTATACTTGCGTTGTCTATACACATGCTTAACTGGTTGTGTGAACCGATCCTACAGCGTGGTGGCAATATAGATAGTTTATATGTGGACTTTGCCAAGGCATTAGACGTGCACCCCACCTAAGGTTAAAGTTTAAACCAGAATTCGGGGTGTGTCTTTGCGTGGATTGGAGAATATCTTCGCAACCGCAAACAATGTGTGGTGGTTAATGGCTTGAAATCATCATGTGTACCTGTGACAAGCGAGGTGCCACAGGGCAGTGTACTGGGCCCACTGTTGTTCGTTTGTTTACTAACGACATGGCCGAAGCTATACACTCGTTTATGCAAATGCTCACGAACGATCCCAAGTTATTCAGGAAAATTAAGAACCAAACAGACTGTGAAAGATCTCTGTTCAGCTTCATGGGATGCACTTAGGTCGTACCAACAGTAAGAAGGCATATCACATGTCAAAACGGGACGAAGAAGCAGCATTAACGGAGACCAAATGTTAAAAAGACCTGGGTGTGTATGTTGACAACGAACTGGCACCCTGGACAGGCTACAGGCATGGACTACGGAGAACAAGGTCACCATCAACCACACCAAAACCGTAGTCATCGCAAGCAAGATGTCACGGGTTCGATTCCCGGGCCGGCGGAAGTTGTTTGGACACTCTTCCTAGTCCCCTGGTCCCTGTTCACCTAGCAGCACAGTAGGTGCCTGCTGTAAATCGGAAGTTGCGAATTCGTATTCAGGGACAAGTTGTTGGAGCTTCCAATAACTTGCTTAGACATAAACCATTGACTCTTCAGGCTTCTACGCCCTTGACTCTTCAGGCTTCTACGCCCTTAACTCATGAGATATAAGGCAAACATGAACTTAGCACGCTTCCCTGTTGGGCGCTGTAAACGCTTCTGCGCTTCACCTTACACAAGGATGTAGGGGGGGGTGCCCAATAAAAAAAAAAGTCGTCATGCACACCAATACCGCCACCACTCCAGTGCAAGCTCCAGCAGTCACAGTGGGTACCCATCCTCTCCAGTTAGTGCAGTCCGCCAAACTCCTGGTTGTTACCATAGACCACAAGCTGGACTGGAAGGCCCATGTAAACAACACAATCAAGGCAGCCTCGTACCGACTCTACATGCTACGACGACTCAGGTCACTTGGGACACCCACGCCAGAGCTGAGGACTATCTACAACACCTTTATTCTCCCCAAACTAACGTATGCCTCACCAGCCTGGTCGTCTTCTCTCAACTCTACCCAACAACGTCGGCTAGAGGAGGTACAGAAAAGGGCCTGCAGAATCATGCTCGGCGCAGACTACTCCGGCTACATCAACGCTCTCTCCACCCTGGAAATGCCATCCCTCAGTGACCTCCACCACCACGCACTAGCAGGGTTTGGCAGTGGACTACTGCACCATCCTCGTCATCGCCACCTCCTGCCACCGGCAGCCCCCACCCACCTCGCGCAGTCCGCCACTATAACAAAATTCAGCCCACAAGACCCCGCACCGATAGATATAAGAACAGCACCATCCC